AAAACGTTTTATTAAATTCCCAGCTAAAACGTTTTATTAAATACCCAGCTGAAACATTTTATTAAATACCCAGCTAAAACATTTTATTAAATACCCAGCTAAAACCTCCAACAATTATCACACTGAAGAGCAAATATTCCTGCAGAAACTGCATGTTTGGCAAAAGTGCAAATGTAAAAGCTAAATGACTGCTGAGATTAGTTGGAGGCTGAAATTGAGTTGTTAAAGCAAGCTAAAAGAGGCAGAACATGAGCTAAAAGTAGCAGGAAAAATAAAGGGAAGTAGCTGAAAAGGGCTAGCTCAAAGCTGAAAGCAGAAAAGAGCTAAAAGCTAAAGGCGAGCTAGAGATCAAAGGTAGCAAAAGGCTAGATCAAAGCTAAAAATAAATAAATCATAAAACAGACAAAAAGGCCTGAATGGTTCTGTTGGGTCTTGACAGTGTTTGTGCTTTGCCTGGCTCTGGTCATCCCTCCTTTAATTCGGTGTGGAACTGTGGGTGTTTCTCTTGTGTTTCGTTTAAAGGCTCTTAACAGCACCACCTTGAGCTCTCTGCACAGCTGCAGCAGCGACGGGGTTTATCCTCACGTGCACTTTGTGTCATTCTATAAACTTTAATTACACGGTTTAGTTATTAATGTTTAAAATGTTCGGGGCTTTACTGAAGAGGAGCTCGGGTAAGAGTAGAACTCTGTGAAACACGAGAGGAGAAACGTCAAATGTTTTAATGTTTGGAGTCTGTTCTGAATGTCTGCGCGCCTTCGGCAGGAGTCTGGTCTTAAGGTGAATCACCCAGCATCCTTTGCGGTGCGTCTGAACGGAGCGCAGGGCAAGATGGAGGCCAAGGTCCACAGTCCATCTGGAGCTCTGGAGGAGTGTGTCGTCACAGAGCTGGAGAGAGGTCTGTCTGGGTTTAACTGGTTGGAAAGTGATGGACGGAGGTCCAGTGGACCCAGCTGGCAGCTTCTTCTGGTCCAGATTACTAACTCACATCTTCCTCTTCTTTCATCATCATCATCCAGACAAGTACGCTGTTCGCTTCATCCCCAGGGAGAACGGCGTCCATACCATCCACGTGAAATTCAACGGTTCTCACATCCCAGGAAGTCCTTTCCAGGTTCGAGTTGGAGAACCAGGACAGACCGGAGAGCCTGGTCTGGTTTCAGCATATGGGGCAGGGCTGGAGAGGGGCACCACAGGTGAGTTACCTGTCTGCTGTTGACCTCTGACCTCTCAGCTTAAAATAAAGGCCGTAAAACGAATGCACTTATTAACAAAGGTCCTGCTGGTATTAACCAACTAAACTATTCACCAGTAGATTTTTACCAGTAGATCTAATCAATGTAGAGGATCGTTGAAACAGAGTGGGTTTTTTTTTTTTAATACTTGAAGCTTTTATTCTAGAGGTTTTCTCGATTCAAACTGAAATGTGAATTTTCAAATCTGAGTTTCTGAAATGAGCAAAACGTTTTATAAAAATAACGACAGTCCAGTCGACTTCAAACGATCTGCACCAAGCTACCTTTGAGAGACACTTGGAGTCATGAGACCAAACCAAGTGTTGAATTCTTGCAGGTGCCCAGTCAGAGTTCATCATTAACAACACCAAGGCGGGTCCAGGAACTCTGGCCGTGACCGTCGAGGGCCCGTCTAAAGTGAAACTGGACTGCCAGGAGGTTCCAGAAGGTTACAAAGTACTCTACACGCCCATGGCACCTGGAAACTACCTGGTCAGCATCAAATATGGAGGACCAAACCACATCGCCGGGAGTCCCTTCAAGGCCCGAGTCACAGGTACAGAGACGAGTGTCGTCCGGTGCTGGTGAGCCCAGCAGGAGTCGGAACCACAACGTGCAGCTAAAAGATGCTTGAACGTTTTTATATTTCACGTAAGCTTCGTTTGTCCGTCAGGTCCTCGGCTGGTGAGCGTAACAAACGCGAGTGAGACGTCGATGCTGACCCTGGACGCGCCTGTACGGGGGAGCAGCAGCAGCTTCGTGCACAGCGCCATGCCCAGACTGGGAGACTCGGACGCCAGCAAGGTGCTGAGCCGAGGAACGGGCCTCAACAGGGCCTTCGTGGACCAGAGGAGCAGCTTCTCTCTGGACTGCAGCAAAGCTGGTAAACTCTTTACCTAGAACTCCGTTTGTTGTAAATCCCTCGGCGACGAGTTGGCCGTCGTTCCTGGCCTCCTTCCAAGCCTGACCCGTTTACCAGACGTCGGCGATCCATCTGTTCTGACTGGCTTCATTACGTAACGCAGGAGCTGGATGTTTTTCTGACGCGTTTTCTCCACCTTTTCTCAGGTAAGAACATGCTGCTGGTGGGCGTGCACGGCCCCCAGGTCCCCTGTGAAGAGGTTCTGGTCAAACATTTGGGCAACCTGCAGTACAACGTCAGTTACCTGCTGAAGGAGCGGGGCAGTTACGTCCTGGTGGTGAAGTGGGGCGACGATCACATCCCAGGGTCTCCGTTTAACGTCACCGTCCCGTGATAACAAGACAAGCAGCCGTTCCTCCTGCATCGTTGTTCATCCCTGTTGAGTTCATCAAGTTTGAAGAGCACCAGTGGGGTCTGATGATTTAGTTCCTGCTGCCCTGAAACCATCAGCTCAGTCCGTTTGCGCTCGCTAGATTCTGTTCCACTGATTGATGAAAATCTTTAAGTTTCAAAAAAAAATGTTAAACAATATTTGGAAAAAATTCACAATATAAGAAAATGAACGTAGATGATGACTGGAATAACGTTACACTTTAGATGAACAGTGCCAGGAACAAAGTAAGACACGTTTCATCGTGGAGTTCTGCAGTTCGAATCTTCTCCTGGTTGGCCAGTTGCCAGAAGAAACAGCCAATAAAAAATAAATCTGTGCTTGAATGTTTTCTCAGCTAAAGTGTGAATTAAAGACGAGTCAGCATCTCTGTAAACAGAAAAAACTGGAGTTCATCGTTTCATTCCAGCAGCAAATATCAAAGTTTGCGCAGCTGCTGATCGTTCGTTGCTCTTCATCTCCCAGAATTCCTCACTCCTCTGCCTTCAAACTGCTGTTTCCTGCACTGCACAACAGAATACTTGATGTGTTGGAGTTCTGGGGCTTGGGATCGTATCGCACGACCCGATCTGACTTTACGGCTCGGTTCTGATCCGTTTCTGTTCAGATTAGATGATCCAGCTGAAGTTGCTGAAGCGATGACTCTGAGCTCAGTTCGTGTGTAAACGATGAAGAACTCTACAGGAGTCTCTTTCTGTCCTTCGTGTTGTTGCCTCTCTGCTACTGCTGCGTACACTTTGATACTTTTTAACATGAGGGGTTTTGTGCTGGGGGTGGGAGAAGTCTTGTTTTGCATCAGGCAGTAAGTGTCTTAATATGAAACCAAGTCCTGATGTACTGTACATTTTAACGATGAAATAAACTGGAATGTAGAATATCAAACTCCACTTTTCTGATTTTTGTTTCAAACGAGTTTTCTTCCAGCTCCGTTCTGCATCTGTTCAGTAATTTAGCAGCTGACTGAATCTGCTGCTAAATTACTGAACGACACAACTGTCAGGAATAATATAAAGTATAAATATCTGCTTGGAAAGACCCAGGACACGCTGGAGAGACTAAGACTCTTGGTTGATCTGGGCAGAGCTGGCTCAATCCTCCATGGGGCCCCAAGTGACATTTGGTTTGGGGCCCTCTATTTCTGCGAATAATGTGGATTAATGCAATCAGCAGTCACATGATCCGATCAATCACCCACCTAACATAAAGTCATTGCAACTCTGACAGCCCTGTTTACATTATCCCATATGCAGATATTATAGTGGTACTAAAAGTAACAACAAAGAAAAAACCACCAGTATACAAAGTATTTTACAGCAAAAGTGTCATCTGGTCCCAAGTCCGCTGTCCTGCACCATCTCGGACCCTTTTTCTGGTAATTAACAAACCTGGTAGTTGGCAGTTGTTCTCCACGTGCTTGTGTGGGTCTCCAGTTACTCTGGTTTCTTCCCACACACCAAAAACATGCATGTTTGGCAAATTTTTCTTTCAGCCGTTCCCTCTTGAGGGAGCGAGCCATCCTCCTCCATCTCTGTCCTCTGCGTCCTCTGTCCTCACTCCAACTACCTCCATGTCCTCTCTAACTTCATCCATATATCTTCTCTAAAAAAAAAATTAAAAATCTATTTTGTCTTTTTCCAGCAGCTGCATCTTTCTACCAATATACCCAATGTCCTTCCTCTGGACATGTCCAAACCACTGTCCCTCCTCTGCACATGTCCAAACCACTGTCCCTCCTCTGCACATGTCCAAACCACTGTCCCTCCTCTGCACATGTCCAGACCACTGTCCCTCCTCTGCACATGTCCAAACCACTGTCCCTCCTCTGCACATGTCCAGACCACTGTCCCTCCTCTGCACATGTCCAGACCACTGTCCCTCCTCTGGACATGTCCAGACCACTGTCCCTCCTCTGCACATGTCCAAACCACTGTCTCTCCTCTGCACATGTCCAGACCACTGTCCCTCCTCTGCACATGTCCAGACCACTGTCCCTCCTCTGGCCATGTCCAAACCATCTCAGTCTGGCCTCTAACTTTATCTCCCAGTTGTTCCACCTGTGCTGTACCTCTGATGATCTCATTCCTGATCTTCTCCATCCTTGTCACTCCTAAGGAGAACCTCAACAATCATAATTTCTGCCACTTCCAGTTCTGTCTTTTTGTCCATGTCTGTCTCCAAACCAGACAGCACAGCTGGTCTCACCACTGTCTTGTAAACTTTTCCTTTGACTTTTTGCTGACACCCTTTTTGTCACAAATCACTCCTGAAACTTTTCTCCATCCACTCCATCCTGCCTGGACCCTTCTTCACCTTTTTACCACGTTCCTCATGTTCATGGACAGTGGACTCCAAGTCCTTGAAGTCCTGCACCTTTGTGACCTCTGCTCCTTGTAGCCTCACTGTTCCACCTCCTCCCTCTCATTCACACACATGGACTCTGTCTTACTACGACTGACTTTCATTCCTCTTCTTTCAAGTGCATACCTCCACCTCTCCAAGTTCTCTTCCACCGGTTCCCTGTTCTCACCACAGATCACAATGTCATCTGCAAACATCATCGTCCATGGGGATTCCTGCCTGACCTCATCTGTTTCTGACCCTCTCTGTACTTCTCCAACATCCTCAAAGCAAAGATGGCATCTGTGGTGCTCTTTCTTGGCATGAAACCATACAGCTGCTCCCAAATGGTCGCCTCTCATCTACGTCTTGCTTCCACATCTTCATTGAGTGATCATCAACTTAAATCCCTGATGTTTCTACAACTCTGTACATAACCCTTGTTCTTAAAAATGGGCACCAGTGCACTTCTCCATTCCTCAGGCATTTCCTCACCCTCAAATATGTCATTGAATATTTGAGTTAAAAACCTTTCCAGCCTGATCCCCGTCTTGCCAATCTGTACAAGTCCTTCTCGCCCTCCATATAACTCATGTTCCTTCTGCTTTGTCTTAGCTACCTTCCTCTTTGCTCTACGTCCCATCTTCTTATTGTCCTGTCTCCTCTCTTCAGTCCTCTGTCATATTTCTTCTTGGCTGACCTCTTTCTTTGAACAGCTTCCTGCACGTCACTATTCCACCACCAGGTTTCTATCATCCATTCTCTGTCCAGACCAAGTACCTTCCCGGTCTTTCCCTAGTTACTGTTGCTGTAGTAGTCCAGTCATCTGGAAGTTCTTTCTCACCACCTGGAGCCTTTATCAGCTCCTCTCTGAACTCCTCAACATTCTTCCTCATCTTCCATTTGGTCTTCTCTGATTTTCCTCTTTCTTTTCTCTATCGTTTGGAAATAACTTTTTTCCTCACACATTTTTCACCTGCCTTCAAAGAAGTCCAACTATTGTTTGTGGTGCTTTGTGATGTTGATGGAACGGTCTACTTTATGTAGGTTTTACTTTGCTTCTGACTTGGTTTAAAACTGTGTTTTAGGAACTCACCCTATACATTCTTCATCCTTTTTGTTTCAGACAGTAAAAATTCTTATTTCAAACCAAAAGCCTCAGGTCACATCTAGTTTGTGGTCAGTTAAACTTTGCTTTGCTAATGGTTTAAAATTTTAAGTAAATGCTGATCTGACCTCAAGCTTTTTCTTTTTTGTCTCTGACATGATAGCGATAGGCTTTGTAGACCCGGTTACTCTGGGACTGGTAACGTGAGGTTCCCGGTTTTTTTTCTTACAAGATTAGAATTTTTGGAGGACTAACGCCACAAAAATGTCATACTCTTAAAGTATACCAAGGCTTTAATCATAAGTTTATTGTACAGAAAAATCTATCAGATTCACAACAGTGCATGCTGATCAAACAGGCCCAAGGCCTAACCTTTACCCTGGCTTGGGACCAGCACAAGAGAGACACTGGTTGAAGTACCTTTAAGTTGAATGTTTTTAACTTGTTTTATTGGAGTTCTTGTATTTTAGTCATGATTGATTCTTTTCCTCTACTTTGCTCTTATTTGAAGTTAGTAAACAGAAACTGATGGATCAGGATGATGTCACAGACCGAGTCACATGGATCGGTTTAAAGCAGCAAGTCCCTGGACCACATGAGCTGTGACACCTACCCCCAGGTGTTGTTTGACCCCCTGACATCAAATCAACTGGACAAGAGAAACACATTTAGTTACACTTTTATTACATATAAAGTGCATGTTACTGTATATTATGTAACCTGGTGTGAAAACACATCAAGCAAACTAAGAAAAATGTGACGTATAACTACTATCACATTAATATACTCCAGTTTAATGCTGTTTTTCCAGATGTTTTCTTTGAAAATCCACATCTGCCCCACAAACAAAATGACGTGAACATGAAAACCTACCGTTGTTACTTTGATTTTCTTCTAATCAACCAACAAAAACTCTGATCGTCATCCCAGAACTTGTTTTAACCTCTTAAAGAGTTCTGTTTGTGTTTTGAGGAAGAACATTTCTTTACGAATTAAAGAGTTCTGTTTGTGTTTTGAGGAAGAACATTTCTTTACGAATTCAGAATGAAAAACACAATACGAACATGTGACAATTTGTGAGTACAAAAACTGTGGTTAGCTTTCAAACCATGGGTGGAAATTTCACCTCTGTGTGTGTGCGTGTGTGTTGGGGGGGTGGTTGTCAGTAAACTGACATTAAGAGCAATTTGATATGCGATATATATATATATATAATATATATATATATATATATATATATAATATATATATATATATATATAATATATATATATATATATATATATTATGATACATAAGTCAAATGTACCAACCAATTCACCAGGTAGATAACTTGTAGAAACTAACAGGAATACTGACTGAACATCTTCCTCCACCCACTCCCGCACTAATTTAATGTTAAATGTGCAGGATTCACTTCCTGGTCACGTGGTCACGTGCCTTACAACTTACACTTTTTTTTTTTCTACAAAAATATAAAACCATTTAAACTATAAGAACAGGTTTTTGAACATCAGACATGAATCCATACTCAACAATAAAGTCCAAAGGGAAATGGTATTCATAAATAGACATATGCAGTGCTCAGATGTTGCCATGGAAACGTGTAAACAAAAACGATGACGTCAGGAAAGATTTTTAATGTGCTCATTTTGCCGGGTGAATAATTGTGAGAAACTCTCTGTACATCGAATGGAAAGCTCTTCATGGACTTGCCCTGCCCTATCTGTCCGAGTTTCTACATCCATACACACCCTGTCGATCCGTCAGGTCAGCTGATCAGCTGCTCCCTGAGTGTGCCGATGACAAAGCGTAGGTTCAGAGGAGACTGTGCTTTTGCTGTGGCAGCTCCTAAACTGTGGAAGGATCTTCCCCTGGACATCAGACAGGCCTCTGTTTTTAAATCCCTTCTTAAAACCAATCTCTTCTCCCTGGCCTTTGACATCATGATGGTGACTTTGAATTATTTTAATCATTCTTTATTGACTGAATGATTGTTTTATTATGTGTACAGTGGTCCCTCGCTACTTTGCAGTTCATTTTTCGCAGGCTCGCCCTATCGCGTTTTTTCAAAGTAAGATTGGACATGACACAATTGGCTGATTGATGGATGAGCCGCACGATCGGCATGGAATTTTTATTTAAAATTACTTTATATGATTAAGCACCTGTGTGCAGCCCACAGCGGAGGGAGAAGCTCCCTCCTGCAGCTGATTAGCTGATCTCCGCTTTGAAATGGAGAAGTGGGCGTGGCCAAGAGCACAGTCAGGCGGCAGAGAGCTGAAATCATGACATTCTGTGCTCTTAGAACGTTTAGAGTTTAGAAACCTTGTTTAGAATATTGCAAGAAAGTGCTGGAGGAGAAGCAGTTTTGTTTGGGGTTTCCTCAGACTGAAAAAGCCTTCTGGATGGAAGGCGAAATGTCTCAGCACAAAAAAAAAAATAAAAGAAACCATCCAGATGACCTGACTGAAAATTGTTGGGATTTTATACCTGGATTATTGAGCATGGACTTTTGGTACTAAAATAAACACTACTTACTACTTTGTTGTTTTTCACTTATCGCGGGGCTTCTGGGTACGGATCTCCCGTGATAAACGAAGAACTACAAGAGATTACTGTACGGCACTTTGGTCCTATGGGTGTTTAAAGTGCTCTATAGATCAAGCTGGTCTGGTATCAAATATGTCTGTAGTTTTCCTCAGTCTAAAGATAATTTAGAATCATGTTCAAGATAATTTAGTTTGGTTTAAAATACTTTTGTGGTCACTGAAGAATCGTCACTGATCCGTAGCAGTTTTACTTGATTTTAGAGCTCTAGATAAATTATGTTAACAGAAGACATGTCTAATAAATAAACCCACTAAATCAAACAAAATTTTTCTTCATACACATTTATATAACTGTATAAATAAAGGTTGAATATACTGTGGTGTTTGTCAATATAAATAATGCGCCACTGAAATGATAAAACAGGATCTATTGATCCTACTGATCCCTTTAAAGTTATATACAGAAGTACTGCCGTTGTCTACAAAAAGCCTAAACTCAGAGGCTCGAACCACATTCCCCCACACAAAAACATGCAGACTGAAGTCTAAAACTTTGACCTCACTGCAGAGGAGAGCTTTGTTTCCTGTGGACCTTTGTGTGTCTGTTTAAATTATTCTTATGGCTAAATTTTTGTCCACAAAGCTCACATTGAAATGGCTTCTGTCCTGTGTGGACAATCTTGTGAGAGTTTAAATTGGTCTTTTTGCTAAACTTTTGTCCACAATCTGCACATTCAAATGGTTTTTGTCCTGTATGGACTCTCATGTGAGAGTTTAAAGTCGTCTTGTGGCTAAATCTTTTTCCACAATCTTCACATTTAAATGGTTTCTGTCCAGTGTGGACTCTCATGTGCGAGTTTAAATGGGTCTTCTGGCTAAATCTTAGTCCACAAATCTCACACTGAAATGGTTTCTGTCCTGTGTGGACTCTCATGTGGGAATTTAAATTAGTCTTTTTGCTAAATCTTTGTCCACAATCTTCACATTCAAACGGTTTTTGTCCAGTGTGGACTCTGGTGTGAGAGTATAAATTAGACCTGTGGCTAAATCTTTTCCCACAATCGTCACATTTAAATGGTTTCTGTCCGGTGTGGACTCTCATATGTAAGTTTAAACTTGTTTTACGACTAAATTTACATCCACAAATATTACACTCAAATGGTTTTTGTCCTGTGTGGACTCTAATGTGAGAGTTTAAATTAGCTTTTCTGTTAAAACTTTTACCACACTCATCACAACTAAATGATTTCAGTCCTGTTAGGACTTTCTCATGGGACTTTACAACATTTTTCTTATGACCCAAACAGCTTGAACGTCTTACTGTTGAATGACATATCAAGTGTCTCTGAAGTGACCGGTTGTGCAGAAATTGTTTACCACATTCAGAGCAGCTGAAACATTTGTTGACAAAGTTTACAGCTGACTCGGGAGACCTGCTCTCCTTCCAGTCTTTGTCACTGTCTTCAGTTGTTGACTCAGAGTCTGACAAGTGTTCCAGCTGAGAGTCAGGACTGTCCCCATCCTCGTCCTCTTTATCATCCTCACTGACTTCAGTCTCTGAAGAGCTTGAAGCATCTCCATGAGGATTTAGATCTGAGTTCCTGCTGATTTCTGCTCCTCCACTGTCCTCACAATCAGCTTCAACTTTCATCTGGTCAGCTGAGCTGCTGGTTGGAACATCTTCATCTTCCATTTGGTGATGATGAACATGTGAGAACAGAGGCTTCTCCTCATCATCCTCACTCTTCACATGAACTGCAGTGAATGAAAACCTGCTGGCATCAGTCTCCTCCTTCACACTGAGCTGCTCTTCCTCCAATTGGGTCCAGAGTTCCTCCTCTTCCTCCTTTATGTGGAGGTGTTCTGGGTCCTGCTGGTCCACATCAGGCCTCCATTCCTCAGGTGCATTGTGGACAATAATATGAAGTGTCTGCTGAACATCTGCAGGGAACACTGAAACACAGACAATATGGACAGTTATAACTTTATATTCACTCATACATCACTTGTGTTGCTGATTAATGTTCTGTGGATCAGAACTGTTCCAAGTCAAAGGAACAACATTTTATTCAGCAAGAGAAAAACAAATGTCTGTTTATCATCCAAAATAAAAAACACATTTAAATGCTTCTGGTACATTTACTTTTTAGTGCCGTCTCAAAATTGGTATCCTGCTTGTACACATACTCTGCACCCCAGGACTAAAAGAAAAGTTTAAATCAGACTAGAGCTGGACAATAATTCGATATCGATATATATCATGATATACCTTTATTCAATAACAGTGATATGAGTTTTAAGCACATTTTCAATATTTCAATATACATTACACTATGATTTAGAGTTGAATTTAGGCCCCAAAAATCCGGTCCGACCTGGACCCAGCCCACAGTCATCATTTACGAACCCCACCCAACCTGACGAATAAACGGTAATTACAGGTCCGAACCCGGAAAAAAAAAACCTGACATTTTTAATTAGTTATTAACGGTCGGAGACGCGCAGCTGAATTAAGAGTCAGAAGATCGTAGCTGAGGGGGTATTTGTCCTTTCATGACCGTAAAAGAGCATTAAAACCCTGTTTCTGTCTTCATTCTTCTGAATTACTCAGACAAGTTGATATCTCTGACACACGTCTGCTTGGAATACATCTGTCATCGGGGATGAGCAACTGAATAAAAGTTGCATAAAATCGGAGCTGAGATTGTGTTTATATATATATATATATATATATATATATATATATATATATACACACACACAAAGCGGATGCCAAAAAAGTTGGGACACTAAACAAATTGTGAATAAAAACTGAATGCAATGATGTGGAGATGGCAAATGTCAATATTTATTTCGTAATATAACATAGATGACAGATCAAAAGTTTAATCTGCGTAAATGTAACATTTTAAAGGAAAAATATGTTGATTTAAAATTTCACAGTGTCAACAAATCACAAAAAAGTTGGGACAAGTAGCAATAAGTGACTAGAAAAAGGAAATTGAACATTTAATGAACAGCTGGAAGGCCAATCAACACTAATTGGGTCAATTGACAACATGATTGGGTATAAAATGAGCTTGTCAGAGTGTCAGTGTCTCTCAGAAGCCAAGATGGTAAGAGGATCACCAATTCCACCATTGTTGTGCAGAAAGATAGTGCATCAATACCAGAATGGTGTTACCCAGAGTAAAATAGCAAAGACTTTTACGTTATCATCATCAACTGTGCATAACATCATCAAAAGATTCAGAGAATCTGGAACAATCGCTGTGCGTAAGGGTCAAGGCCGTAAAATTCTACTGGATGCTCGTGATCTCCGGGCCCTTAAACGTCACTGCACCT